GGAAAGAGCTCAGAGCCCCAGCAGACTCCATGCAGCCTGTTCCCATTGCACAGAGATCCCGGGAGCAAGCATTGCAGCTCCAGGGTGATCGTAGGCCCACGCGAGCACAGGAGGCAGGCGAGTCAGTCTGCAGCATGAGCATCAGAGCCAGCAAGTGCCACCCAGAAGTGGGAAGGACAGACAGACAAGACAAAGCACAAAGCCCAGAGGGTGCAGGAGTCAGTCCCGTTAGTGGCCAGCCGGAGAGGGCGAGTTCTTACGGAAACGCACCCGCTCAAAGCCTGTGATTTCCACTGTGCCAGGAGCAGCCTCTGAGTCTGGCTTGTGGGGCAAAGCCTGGGGCCCTGGGGAGAGAGCAGAGAAGGGACTGAACTTCAAGCTATGCAGCAGGCTCACAGGAGCCCTCCCCGGGCTCTGGACCCTGCAATCAGGCCAACACCCAAAGCAGTGAGGCTCCCCCATCCCCTGCAGGAACCCGTACTCCCCTCACCACCTTGCGTCTCATCCGCTGGGGCAGTTGGGGGGCTCCTGGCCACCTCTTCCAGCTTCTCCAAATCTCCCAAGGCCTCCTGCTCTGTGGTTGGCCTTGCTTCCTCCTGCTGCAAGGGTTCTGCAGGGCTCTGCTCCCGTCGGGGGGCCTCAGCCAGCTCCACGGGGCTCAGCCCTGGGGGAAAGGCCATGGTCAGGCATGAGGTGGGTCCTGCTCAGCCCTTTCCCCTGTGCTGTTACGCTGGCTGCTCTCCCTGCAACCCCCTGCAGAGTGGGGAGACCCAACCCACCTCATCTCCCCTTTACCTGCAGTCTCTCCAGATACCCCTCTCGACTGGGCTGAGAGGGCAGAGGGGCCTGGCAAGGGGCTGTCTCCCAGGCTGCTGCGCGGAGAGGCCAGGTCCATCTCCTCGCCCCAGTCCGAGACAGGCTTGTGTCCTCCCACAGGGGAGAAGGGGCTCAGAGGCTTGCTTGCCCCCCCACTGGGGGCGGGCGCCGCAGGGGGAATGTGCAGCTTGGGAGCTGTGGCTTGCCCAGCCTTTGGGGGACGCTGGGCTTTGGGGGATGCACTGGGGGGTGCTTCATCCTCGCCCGATGACCCAGGGCTGTCTTCCTCTTCCTCCTCCTCGCTGACATCCTCCCACTGGTCCTCATCTTCCTCAGGGTTCAGGGAGGGCTGAGGCTCTGCGAAGGCTGCGCTTGCCGGTTCATCCAGCTGCTGACACAGGGCAAGGACCATTTGAGACAGAGGAAGGTGACACACCGAGGCCAGAGACCACTGGACCCCCGTGGACTCTGATCCAGAGCGTTTTACCTTCTGCCCCAGGCCTTCAACTCTCTCTGCTGCTGCCAGCATCTCCTTCTCCTCCCAGCGGTTGTCATGCATGCTGAAGAGGAGGAAGAACATCAGTGTAAAAGCTCCACTGCGGTCCCCACCTGCTGAGAGCACAGAGGCCAGCCCGCAGCACTGGGAGGTGCTGCCAGAGTGAATGGCCCTGTGGCATCCTCCACCCTGACAGCTCAAAGAACAGCAGCTCTGGGAGCCAGAGCCAGACGCTCCACCTCTGCCCTCTACCCAGCAGATCCCACAGCCCTCCAGCATCAGAAAGGAACCTGGGTGTCCTGACACACATCCGCGAGCCCCAGCTCCCCAGAGAGCACTCCAGGCACCCCAACCTGTAAGGCTTGGCCCCTGTTCCCTGGCTCCGTCCACGGCCCCGTCCCTTTCTTCTCCGCTCTGTGCGATGTGGGGACAGGAACTCCCCAAAGGTGGGCAGCTTGGGAGGGCGCTTGTTCTCATCTGCAACAGGAGGGTAGACCTGCTGGAGCACCACTCAAGGCCTTGAGCCAGCCTGACACCTTGCCCCACTCAGCTCCCCAACACACGCCCTTGTCCTACCCTGTCTTCCCCCCCGGCCCCACGGAAAGCTACAGACTCACCCTGTCTGCTGCCCCCTTCCAGGCCTGGTGCTGCCACAGAGCCCTCCTTGAACCTGAGACAGACGGGGATGAGTGAGACAGAGAACGCTATGTCTCCCGAAGGGTCTGAGCTCAGCCCAGACCAGCCTCTTCCTCCAGCTCAGCCCACAGGAGCCACCCCCCCATCCAGCCCCCTGCAACAGGGCCATCCCCCACAGCCAGACACCCTGTCCCCCTTCTCCGCGTACATCGTGTCCGTTTTCTCGGCATCCCATTCCCGGCGCCACTGGCCCGTGGGTTTGCGGTGACGTGCCAGGCGCTCCTGGTCTATCTGCTCCCGCTCCTTCTTCCAGCGCACGTACTCCGCTCGCTCGCGGCCCGTCATGGACAGCGTCATGTCCAGCGTCCCCCCAGCCTTCGGGCCAGACCGGCGGCCCTGTGGGGAGACACAGGTCAACACGCCAGGAGCCAGAAACTCCCACGAGGCCAAACCCTACCCCAGTACCTCCAACCATGTCTGATATCTGCCCCAGGACCACCAACGCATATAGTGAGCAAGCAGCAGCCAGCTGAGGGACCCATAAACTTCCCTAGCTTCCCCCAAAGTTGCAGCTCTTCAAGACTCCTCTCTTTTCCACCACAAAAGCCCTGTCCAGGGCAGCACGCTGCCCTCTCCCTGTGAGGTACGTACAGGGCCCTGCCAGGCCTTCTCGCGCTCCATGCCTGTCTTGACCTTGTCAAAGTCTGCCCCTCCCCAGTTGCGAATGTGCCGCCTGCTCCCCTCCTTGCGGTCAGCATCCTGGAAGGGGCCGCTGCGCCGCGGGTCATCCAGGAAGTTGCGCACCGGGTTCTTCTCATGCAGCCCATCCTGAGCAAGGGGGAGAATTGGATGCCATCATCTTGCATCTCTGAAGCCAGGCGAGCGGCATCTCACTGCGCATGCTGTCGGCCTCCTGCCCTGGCAGCACCCTCCCTGGCTCACCCGCTGGTTTCGCTCATACTCTGCAATCTTCTCCATCTCCTCATTCATCTTCTCGATATTCTGGCGCCTCCGTTCTTCCCACTCCTGGTAAGGGCAGGATAATGAGAGCACAACCAGGAAAAAACAGCTCATCCCAGGACACACAACACCCCGCACCACTCCCTGCCCAGGCCTCACACATGGAGCTTTTAGCAGGGAAAACATCCTGCACCATCAAGGTGTCTTCTTGTACAGCTTCCCTCATGACCCACGGTGAACTCACATGCTCCGCACCAGCTCTGACACCTACCTTGGACTTCCTGTCAGGGCCGGTGGTGTCTCCCCCCATTGCTAGACAGGCCACCCCACGGCCCCGCGCCCGGCGGCCACGTCCACCGCGCTCCCCAAGGGACATGCTGCCTCCTCCGGCCCCGGCGCCTTCCCAGACAGGGTCACTGGGATGCTCTGCCCGCGGGGACCGGCTGGAGGGACGCAGGCCTGCACGCCCTGAGCCACGGGGAGCGCTGCTGCGGCTGGACTTGGGGGCGCCAGGAGACTTCTTGTCGCTGACAACACGCTTCTCCTGGGGGAGAGAAGGGCAAGGTGCTGGGTTCAGCAACAGTTGCCCCACTGATGCCTGCCCTTCTCCTGACTCCCCCAGCCCACAGCACACCCTGCCCCAAAGACCATCTCCCCCAGCCCTGATCCCCCCCCACTCACCCCAGGGGAGAGCATGACCTGGACAGTGATGGAGAGATCCTTGTCCACCCATTTCCGCTCAGGCTCGCCCTCAGTGGGCCGCACCCGGCGCAGGGCCGTCACCGCAATTCCCTCCTGCTCTGCTTTCTTCCTGTCCTCTTCGATCTCCTGCAGAGGGGACAAAGGCATGAGTGGGACCCCAGCTGGGACAGACCCCCATCTCCTCCAGGGACCATCGTGGGCCTTCCCAGGCCTCTTCCACCACCTTGTCCCTCCCTGCACATCTGGGTAATGGGCAGAGACCTGAGTTTACCTAAGACAACCTTCCCTTTCTGAGGAGGGGGTTTCTGGGCTTTGCAGGAGATCTGTGCCCTACTAATCTCTCAACAGGATGAATGAGACCAGGCACAACCTCGCGGCCCATCAATTCCTGAGCTGTCGCCCTCCCCAGGCTTTATGGTAGACAATGGACAGGAACTGCCCCCCCAGGCCATCCCCCTGCAATCCCCTGTTACGTAAAAGGCCCAGGCACTAAGCCACAGCATGGGATTAGGAGCTGTAAGTGCCTTAATGCGCTCTGCCTCCGCAGGCAGGACATCAGAGGGGCAGCGAGGCCCTGGTGCGGGATGGTGGAGAAGCACACGCTGCGGGCGCAGGGCCTGGGTTGGGACCTGCCGAGCGCTTGGCCCTGACCCCCCACACCTGGTAGCGCTTGATGAGGGCCTCATTCTTCTTGCGCAGTGCCTCGATGCGCTTGTCCAGCTCCGCGTCCTTCTCCTCCTTCGACTTCAGGTCCAGTGTGGCCGACTGTGGGGAGAGCAGCAGGCTGAGCAAGGGCCCCGGGACCAAGACCTGCAGCAAGGCTCAGGCCCCCAACCCGACCCCGGGACACACAGACACACACACAGCCCTCCCTCCTAGGTCCAGTGTGGCCGACTGTGGGGAGAGCAGCAGGCTGAGCAAGGGCCCCGGGACCAAGACCTGCAGCAAGGCTCAGGCCCCCAACCCGACCCCGGGACACACAGACACACACACAGCCCTCCCTCCTCCCCCTCGCCCAGCCCAGGACGCCCCAACCCGGCCTGGGCATCTCCCACACTCAGGCCTGCGCAACACAACCC